GGGCCACTCCCTTGTGCTCAGGGTTCCTGCACCGCTGGGGGTGGGGGGGAGCCAGTGCAGGGAGGCGTGGAGCTGCCTGCTCTCCGAGCCAAACACGCCAGCCAGCGCCCACCCAGGCCCCTCTTTGGCCTCCAGCAGATTCAGGGTCAGGCGCAGCCGGGAAGAGCCGGGCTCATTCCCCACCCTGCGGTCCCTTCCTTACAACTATTTCAGCCAAGGGCGCCCTTGTTGAAGCCTCCCCGGGCCTCCTCTCTGGCACATCCTTAGCCTCGCTGGCGCCCCCTGCTGTCCCCTGGTCTCTGTTCTGTGTTTAGCCAGTTCCGGGAAGCTCTGCTTGCTGTTGATTGTAAGGTAAATTAGCACCGGGACGGTGGTATTTCCGATACTTTTGTTCTTCCTCAGTGTTGCTTTGGAGATGGAGGAGCTTTTATGGTTCCATATGGACTTTAAGATTCTTTTTCTACAAGTGAACACAGGAGACAACCTCGTTGGCTTTGGCCTTGGGAATGATTTTAGGGTTATTGCACCAAAAGCTCGCACTGTAAAAACAAGATCTCTAAATGTGCCTTTAATTTTCAAGAAGCAAAATTGTCCCCAAGACCCCCTGAGCTTCTGCATTCCCAGCTCACCATCCGTGGTGGTACCCGAAATCCCTACGCACTTAGAGGCTGTGAACTGAGATTTTCACTGCCGTGATCCTGGAAATAACAGGAATAATAATAATAATTATTATTATTATTCCTGGAATAACAGTGCTTGCCTCCAGACCTGAAGCCCCACGGCAGGGGTCCCAGATCCTGCACTCTCTCCTTGAGAGGGTTGCCAGGTGGTTAGTGTTTGTAGTATAATTTTGTCCCACTGCTATTAGGAGCAAGGTGATTAAATGGTTTAGAACCAATGCTATAATCTTCAAAAATATAAAATGTTAGAAGTCATCCTCTTGGGCCGGAGATTTAGCTCAGTGGTTCTGTCGCCTGCCTCGAAAATGCAAGGTCCCAAGTTCGATCCCTGATACAAAAAAAAAGTCATCCTCTTAACTTGATATTGTGCAATTTGTGGGACTTCCAATGCTCTTTGATAATATGAATGTCATAGTTTATCAAGGTCCCCCTGTTGGTAAATCTGCTGAGTAGAATGCCTCCCGTGATGTCCTTGAATAAAGTATTCTGACTCATGAGAGATCACATATGTGTTATAGAAAATGTACAGCAGGGCTAGAGATTTAGCTCAGTGGTTTTGCCACCTGCTGCACAAGCGCAAGGACCCGAGTTTGACCCCCGGTACCAAAAAAAAGAAAATGTACAGCAGCAGGAAGACAAAGAGACAAAGTCTGGAATTGGCTTCAGGGCCTGTTTGCAGCAAAGGCCTGGGTTACAGTTGTGTCCTCCTGGCCTGTAGGGGTCAAAGTCTCCCTCCGGGGATGAGCTGGGTGTTCATTGTCTGGTACAGGGCCCTGGGCTCCTCTCTGTCCAGACACAGCTGTGTCTTCTCCATGACTTCCCCTACTCTCCAAAGGTCCAGACCCATGGAGTTTTGAGGCTGGGATTCTGACCTCCGAGGCCTGGGGAAGGGGAGGTGCAGAGACAGCCCTTGTGTCACTGGGCATCAGCGGTGCGGAGCGGGCGTGTGTCCTCCATCAGGCTGTTAACAGAAGTTCCTCTCTGCTCAGCAGCTCGGCTCAGCACAGGGGGCCCGTACTTCCCAGGGAGAGCTCACACCTAGGGTACACTTCCTGCAGTCATGAGACATGGGCCACCTCTACTCAGGGGCCCTGGGATCTCAGCCACCGCCCCCCCCCCGCCCCAATAGCATTAGGCTTGATGATCTGAACAGTGTGAGCAACTGGCCAAGCACAAGCCTTTCCTCGAGTTGAACCTATGCAAAAAGTGTCACCAGTGGTGATGCAGGGCTTTGCCGTACCAGGGTCGAGGTGGCTGGGCCCACTATGCACATAGTGAATTGTACTGCACCCAGTAAACATGCACAGACACGACGTCTGGATACAGATATGACTGTGACTTCTCTCGAGTTTCAGAGGCCACACGGTGGGCTACATCGTCTTCCCATCCTCACCCGCAGAGGAGGCGTCCCGCGCAGGGCAGGAGGATGTTATTAATAGGGGGCAGGTGTGTCAGGGCACAGGCTGCAGAGAGAACAGCGGCCCTGTGCCTGGCTCGGGGGATGAGTCAACAGGCCTGACTCGGTGGCTCCAGACGTCCCAAGAGACACATCACAGGGCACAGAATGGTGACCACTGTAACACAGCCCCACTGAGGTGCCCTGGGTGCAAAAGGGGGAGAGTGAGTCTCCTGGGAATGCGGAGAGGCGGTGAGAGGAGGAGGACAAGAGGAGGTGCCCCTGGCAGTTGGCGGAGTTCAGGGAGCTGGATTTGGAAGGTGTCTCCAGCGGGCCGGCTGGGGTCCTCAGAGCCTGCAGGAGCTCCCGTGCAACACACGGCGGCAGGGCACATCCGTGTTCCCCTGAACCCCTCAGTCCATAACCTGGAATACAGATGATCAGTTCCCCTGGGCAAGTTGTGAAAGTTGTGGATTTTGTGAAAGAAGTCGAATATATTTGTCAGGAGACTTTGCCTACTTCGTGGTGACTCCGGGAAAGAAGGCAGCTGGGCCTTGCACCCCCATGCTTCCCTCATACCCTGGCCTCCCCGCTCCACACTGGGTGCTGTTCCTGACCCCACCTCCCTGGGGCTCCGCCTCAGGGCCTCAACTTTGTGGGTGAGCTGGGACCGTGTGGTTTTCTGAGGACTCTGAGGAAAAGGAGACTGAAAAAGACCAGTAAAGAGATGTTTGGCAGGCACTGGACACACCCTCCCGGCTCGAGGGGTATCCCACAGGTCTTCCAAAGAGCTCATTGTTGAGCTCAATGAAACTCGGTCATACCGGTCACTTTCCAGTCACGGAGACACAGTACCGGATGCCTGCAGCCTAAAGGAGAGGTTCCTTTTGCTTGGGGCTTCAGTCTGGTTGGCTGGCTCTGGCTGCGGCATCAGCATCGAGGAGGCGAGGGTGGCTTAGTTCTTGGCACAGGCACCAGAGCAAGCGACGGATGCCAGAGAGGAAGAGGGAGGGAGCGGACAGGGACCCCAGGTTGTGCCCCCCGGCCCTGCCCAGACTCACCTACAATGTGCTCCCCAGCCCTGGGTGGGTCCACCGACTCCAGGGCTCAAAGACCCGACATCCCCTTGTGGAAAGACTCTGCTCTTTTAAGATTCAGCCCCCACCAGGAACAGAGTGAAAGGGCGCTCACGAGGAGTCCACGACTATTCAGGGCTCCAGACCTGGGATCCGGAGGGAAGTGGGTCTCATCATACGCACACAGCCAGAGGCGCTCACGGAACCTTAGCCAGGGGCCACAGAACATCACAGAAGACAAAATGTGCCCAGGAAGACAGCCTGACCAAAATAAACCAACCCTCCCTGTGCTTTCCTGGAGAGGCATGTTCACGTGTGAAGAGGCCCCTCAGTGACGCTCAGACACGGTGGTGTCTGCATCACGGTCTGGAGTTTTCCCACCCACCCCGCCTCTCCCCTTTTATTACCCCAGTGGTGGGGACAGTTCAGTGTCCGTCTGAGCATCTGCCTCTCGGAGGAGCCACTGACCACTGCGGACCTCACATGTGTGGTTCAGGACACTAAGTGTGGGCCTAGGCAGGAGCCCAGCTGACAGGGCAGAAGCACCTTCTCCTGGGTAGCATTGGCCAGGAGGGGCAGGGGCCTGCAGCCGGGCCTCCCTGTGTCTGGTCCACAAATACCCAGCGAGCAACGCGGCTGGCCTGGCTCAGGGTATCTGGGGAAAGGACAAACAGACATCTGTCCCCATGGGGTGCTCATTTCTGATGCTGGCTGAGGGAGACCAGTGAGGGGTCCCGCAGGAGACAGAGGAAGGGAGGGGAATGGAGCACACAGGAAGTTCTGGAGAGAGGAGAGTGGGGCCGAACAGATGGAGTGGGAGACAGACGGACAGATGGCTGGAGGAGAGAGAGCTCAGAGGAGAAACAGGGAGAGAGGAGAGAAATGGAAGGCTCAGAGAGGCGGACAGTCAGGTCCAGAGAGACAAGTGAAGGGCGGAGCAGAGAGTGGGTGGGGAGGAAAGAACAGAGGAGGGAGCAGAGGGAAGAGGGCGACTGAGGTGCTGGGAGGAGCCGTGTCCACGAAGGGCACCTGTGGTACACCAAGCCCGGAGCTCCCCCAGCAGGCGGTGACACTGGAGTCCCTCAAGGTCCAGCCCTGGGTCTGTCACTGAAGGCGGGGCTGCCAGGAGAGAGGGCTGCCCTGCTTGGTGGGCAGGGGGCTTTGCCGCTCTCTACACTGTCCTGTGCCCCATCACCCATGCCGCTGGGCACCCACTGGGCACTGTGTTCCATCCAGGGTGATCAGGATGGAAAAACCCAGCTTCCCCCACTGTTTCCCAGAAACAGACATCAGCGGGGGGGCCTGCCCTATGGAGCCCGGAGTCTGTGACATTAGGGGAAGTGTATTCAGGACCCAATCTGAGCCTGGTGCCGTGCCTGGTGCAGGGTCCCTTACGTGAGTTATGTCATTTGGGTACCTCCCTCATAACAGCTCTTACAGGTGAAGGCTCAGGCACCCAGAGGGCCGGGAACTGCCCGGGGCTGTCAGGTTGCAGCTGAAACACCACAGTCCACCCAGGAAAGACTCCCGGAGCTCCTCCTCGGCCTGCTCCCAGGGTCCTAAGGAAGCCCATGGAAGTAGCCTTGTCTCAGGAAACTGCTCCTCTAACAGCAGATTTTTTTTTTTTTTTTGGTACCGGGGCTTGAACTCGGGACCTTGCGGTTGTGAGGCAGGCGCTGGAACCACTGAGCTACATCCCCAGCCCTCTAAAAGCAGATTTTTAAAGATGAAAATTTGCAGGCCGGGGATGTAGTTCAGAGACATCATGCCTGCCTCGAAAAGGCAAGCTTCTGAATTCAATCCCAGGTACCAGAAGAAAGGAAAGGAAAAGGAAAAGGAAAGGAAAAAAAACAAAGAAAATTTGCTGTATTTTCCAAAACAACAACAACAAAAAGTGAGACAAAGTGTTTTACATTTTTGCAAATCCCTTTCAGGTCTGGCTTCATGGAGACTGTTGGGCTCTCATGCCTGCCTCTGCATTTACTGTTACATTTCCACATATCCAGAGCCTCTGGAAAACTCCATGGCACATTCATGACAGAACAAAGATAAAAAAACGAAAAACAAGTTAACATCTTCATATTATTTTGAAAATGGTTCTGACCTTTCAGACCCCCCCTGAGATGGAACCTCTGGACTCCAGACTTTAAGAACCAGTGGTTAATGGGCCTCAACTAGCTTGTGTGTGTGCATGTGTGTAAGCGCGTGCGTGTAAGTGTGTGTGTGTTAATGAACTACAGTAAGGGAGGATATATCGGAGTGCACTGTCCTGGGTGAGGGTAAATACTTTGACATTTACTCTTGTGTCCACTTCTGACCTCGGTCCTGCTCCCTGCCGTGCCTGACGGCATGGTCCTGTTCATGCCTCAGCTAGGGTAACTGGGTTATAATGCAGTAGGAGCCTTGCATGCCCTGCCTGACTGTGACAGACTTATTTCCTTCTGGCCCCATGTGTCCACAGAGAGGAAGGCGCAGAGCAGTGGCTGGCCCTGACCGGTCCTGCTGAATGGCTCCCCACCCCTCCCCCGCCCATCACTGGCCGGGAACGAGACTCAACTGTCACCAAGGAGTCTGGTCCACAAGAGAGGCGGCAGGTCCTGTGAGTGTTAAAGCATACAAGCTACCCAGTTGTTGAGAAAGTCTTCTGTCTGTCAGTCTGTCTGTCTTCTGCAGTTCTGGGGCTGATCAAAGGGCCTCACACAGGCCAGGCAAGGGCTGCTCCACTGAGCGACATCCCCAGCCCTTTTGTATTTTGACAGAGTCTTGGTAAGTTACCCAGGTGGGTCCCAAACTCGCCCTTTCTTGCCCCAACCTCCTGGCAACCAGGTCCCTGGCTTTATCAGGAGCCTCAAGCCAGGCACCGTAAGGCAGGTCTTTGATCTCAGCACTCTGGGAGGCTGAGGCAGGAGGATTTCAAGTCCAAGCCCAACCTGGCAATTTAGTAATTTAGCAAAAACCCTGTGTCAAAATAAAAGGATGGGGCGTGCTGATAATGAACTCAGGCAAAGATTCTGGGTTCAATCCCCTATACTGGGGGGGGGAGCTTTTTTTGGGTTTTGCTTTGTGTTTGTTTTTTTCTCCCACCCACAGTTATTTCCACCTTCTTTCCCCCAATAACCTGACTGGTTTCACAGTCTTTACCATCAGCAAATGTTTACCTCAGTGTGACCCCAACCTGTCCCCTCCCGACAGGCATGGGTACCGGGACAGAAAGCTCTAAAAAGTATATGTTCCTCTCAGAGACCAGGCGTTTTTTCATGGGACGTATCTTCACTGCTGGAAGATATAAAAAAGAATGCAAAATAAGTGTTTACCAGAGGGGATCTTTGGAAGCAGCCTAGTGATGTGTACTTACATCTGTTGGAAGCAAAACTCAGATCATAAATTCCACGCATAAGGACGTACATGACTACATTCACATTTGTCCTTTTTGTCTCGCAATGCTGGGGAGCAGAACCCAGGGCCTCACACTGAATTACATCCCCAGTGCTGTTACTTAGTCATTCTTTGAGAGACAGGGTCTTGATAAATCGCCCAGGCTTGGCTCATCCTTGCCATCCTCCTGCCTCAGCCTCCCGGAGTGCTGGGATCACAGGCGCGAAACACCACGGCAGCCACGTTCTTCTGTGCTCCTTTCCCACCTTCTACACAGGGAGGATTTTCGTACTGCAGCATGTTGAGGGTTTCCTGCTGGGCCTGTGCGCTCCGACCACGCCTCAATCTCTCGCTCCTCACAGTAACGGCCTCAGAGCTCCTTGCTCCCTCTGTCCGGAACAGTTCTGTTCAGTTCTGCACTGCGTGCAGGCGCTTGGATCTCAGTCCTGGGATTCGCCACTGGAATGGAGTCCAGGAAGTGGAGATTAGACTGAATAGCGTGGGTGTGGAGGGAATGATCAGAGTATGGTCTATGTGTGTGTGGCTCTGCCCCCAGAAACCCAGGATTCAGTAGAACAAAGAGGCACTAACTTAAAAACTCTAAGTGTCATAAACACAATGTGCAGTGAAGAAGCTAGTGCATTTTGAAAAATGGGTAAAATTATATTAAGATGTTGGGCTCCATCTAAGGTGATGCACAGGAGGTGGGTGCAGTGGTACCCACCTGTAGTCCTAGCACTGTGGGAGGCTGAGGAGGATTGAAAGTTCATGCACAGCTGGGGCAATTTACCAATTCATGCAGACCTTGTCTCAAAATGAAAAATAAAAAGGGTTGAGCACATAGCTCGGTATGGAGGCCTTGGGTTCAATACCCCATAATAAAGGAAGACAGAAAGCGAGCAAGCAAACAAGTGAGTGTGCCTGCTGGCTGTGGTGGCGCATGCCTAAAACCCCAGCACTTGGGAGGCTGAGGCAGGAGGAGGAAAAATGAAGGAAGGGAAGAAAGGAAGGAAGGAAGAAAAAAGAAACAAAGAGTGGTGGCTGTGTGGATGCGTGCCCATGATAATTCATTGAGCTGAACACCTAGATTTTGTGTACTTTTCCATATATGGGATGCTTCACAATCCTGCTACTTTGTTTTTGCACTGGGGATTGAACTTGGGACCTTGTACTTGCAAGGGAGGCAGGAGCACCACTGAGCTAAATCCCTGAACCAATACCTTTTTGTTGGATACAGGGTCTCTCAATGTAGTTCAGGCTTTGAACTCACTATGTAGCCCAGGCTGGCCTCAAACTCATGGTGATTCTCCTGCCTCAGCCTTCCAAGTAGTGGGATTACAGATGTACACCACCATGCTTGGCTCCTGATATTTTTTTTTTTTCCAAATCTTTATAATCCCTCAAACCCAGTTAACAATGTCTTTTAACTTGGCCTACAGATTTCAGGGTAACTCACATCAGTGCATGTTTTGTGACATACTGCTCGTCTTGCTATGTGACAAACATCTTCCCTTTGGTCACATGGCTAACCAATGGTAACTAGAATGCCTGTAAGAAAAAAAAGACTGAAAATACCAAGTGTGGAAAAGATATAAATTACTGCGACCTTCTCAGATTGCTGGTGGGAATGTAAACTAGTGCTGCCACCTGGGGAGAGACTTCTGCAATTTCTAAAAAGTTAAATACACACTTACCCCATGACCTGGCAACTCTACCCCTAGCTATCTGGCAAGAGAAGCAAGGAGTGTGTCCCCGTGGGGCCTGACACATGCATGATTGTGCTGGGGTTATTCACTACAGGCAGAACACGGCAAGGAGGTGAGGGGTACACCCACATTCACACAAGGGGACAGGATGCACTTCCCACAAGTGCCATAACACAGGGGGACCCCGAACACACTCTGGGAAGTGCAACAAGCCATACCCCAAATATTACACCTTGTATGATTCTACTTTTTTTTTTGTAGTGGGGATCGAATTCGGGTCCTTGACCTTGCAAGGCAGGTGGTGGAACCACTGAGCTAAATCCCTGGCCCTCCACTTAGATTTTTAACGTTGGTTTATAGCACCACTGCATAGATATAGCATAAATTCTTTAAGCAATTGTCAGACTTGGGATGATTTCCTACTTTTTTTTCTTCCTTTATTTTTGTCTCTTTTTTTTGAGACAAGGTCTCAAAACATGGTTCATACATAGCAACCTTGAACTCACTATATAGCCCACTCCTGGTGATCTTCCTGCCTCAGCCTCCCAAAGTTCAAATTCCAGGCATGTGTCACCATGCCTGGAATCTCACTTTTTAATATTAGAAACAATGTGGTGAAAACCATTTTTGTGGCTAAATATTTGTGGTCAGACTTAAGTAGATCTCTGGACCACGTTCAGAAGCAGACAGCGAAGGGTATGTGTGTTAGAGAGCCTTCAGTGATGGCTCCACGCGCCCTCCCCAAAGTTCGCTTTCCCTGCTCTGTGGCAGAGCCACGGGAGAGCGCCTTTCCTGGCCCGAAGCCCTCCCCAGCCAGTAACGCTGCTCAGGGAGGCGCCCGGGCCTCGGGGTCCCACCTCATGATACCCCGTGTCTGTTTGCAGTCGCCCTCATCGTGCCACCATGCCTGTCCATGCCCACGCCACTAATCGCCAGGTCATGGGCTTCGCCATCGCCACCATCGCGTGGATCCTCAGCAGCACCTCCATGGGCCTCGTGGAGTGGTGTGTGTGGAACCTGGAGGACCCCGCGTTCTCACACTCCTCCCTCATATGTGTGGGAATGTGGCGGCTCTGCATTTACAAGCATGACAGCAACTTCAGCAGAGCCAAGAGGTGTCACCAGTACACCTACCTGGACACCTTCCTGCCGCCTGACATCCGCACGGCCCAGTACCTGCTGCTGGCCACCAGCGTCCTGGGGCTTGTGGGCAAAGCCTTCACTATCTGGGGGCTCCAGAAGGTGACCATGGGAGCCCCACCCAAGGACTTGCCCTCCAGACCCTTTGTCACTGCAGGGATTCTTACCCTGGCCGCCTGTGGCTGCGTCTCCGTGGCTGCCTTCTGGAACTGCTATTCCGTGGCGGACAAGGCAGAGATCTACTTTCCTCTGTCCTTCCACATGCCCTTCCAGCCCAGCACGCAGGAAATGGGCAGTGCTGTGCTAGTGGCAGTCCTGGGTGCCTTCCTAATGTTGTTGAGCGGGACTTTTTTTCTTTCTTACAGTTATCCCCTGGACACCCAAGTGCATCCTGAGATCTGAAAAACAAAGCCGGGTTGCACTGGCTTTGCAAATCCAAGATTCCCAGGAATTTATGGAAAGTATTATCAGGTAATTCAAGGACTCAAGTAATTTTATGGCAAAGATAGCCTTGGACAGAAAGTGGCCATAGTTCCTTTCATTATTTTCTCTGTCTGAGTTTGGTTCACTGATTGGCTGGTTGGAATAGAAGCTTTTATGAAAAAAAATCTTACCTGGGCCGGGGATTTAGCTCAGTGGTTCTGACACCTGCCTCACAAGTGCAAGGTCCCGAGTTTGATCCCTGGTACCAAAAAAAAGAAGAAAAAAATCTTACGTACCCGCAAAAAAAAGCAGAGGCCAGGGAGGGACACCCTGCACAGTTCTGCCTCTGCCTGGATAAGAGGCAGGTCGCCACGCTTGGTGACTGCTGGCTTGGCAGGCTCTCGCTCTACTGTTCCACTACCTCAGTGCCCGCCAGTAACGCTGCCGCCACCGCTGCTGGGCCGGAACTGAGCAGGACGGCAGTGAGGAACTGGCTTCCTCCAGCATTTCTAAGGACTGGGGAGCCCTGTGGTCCCTACCCTCTCCCGACGCTACTTACTAGTTCTTCCCAGGGTGCCTAGAGCCTGTCCCCATCCTCTCTAGGGACCCCACTCCATTCAGGGACTCAGAACCAGCCCTTCCCTTCCCCAGGGACTCAGATACCAGCCCCCTGTACTGAAAACCTCTCCAGCAACCCATGGCCCCACCCTGGTATCCTGTGCACCGGCCATAACTCTGCCATCCACGGGTCTGACGTGACCCCTAGGCTGACCCGGCAGGGCAGGGAAGCAGGGCACTGTCAGAGAGGTTCCCTTTGTGATGACCCATTCCTGGGGTGCACAAACACTCGGGGAGAACACAGAAGCCTCGAGCACAGCGGCACCCAGGTGCAGGACCAGCCGGAGTCTCCCCTGGCACTCAGTGCCCGGCTCTGTGATAGAGGCACAAGGATCTGCTGCAGGCACAGCAGTTGCTCCGAGAGGAGCACACGTGTGCACAGCCTGGGGACACCCACGACGACCCACGGCAAGTTCACACACACTCTGGACACATGAACACGAAGCGCCCACACATGCATGCAGCCCTGGCACTCCCCTGGAGGCTGCCCTTGGGCAGACAGAGCAACAGACCCAGCCTGCCCTGCCCTTGCTATGTTGGCACAAAGTGGGTGTCCACCCCATGCCGGGCTGCTAGATCCTAGGGTCCTGAGACACCAAAGTGGTCAGGTCAGGAGTGCGGATGCGGTGGACAGCTTCAGGGTATGGTGGGCGGGCATAGGTGGGCATGTGCCATGGGGCCTGGTGAGGTCACAGGCCTTTCCAGAATCCCTGCCATGTCCCAAGGTATCCAGAGCCGCCCCAGTTGGAGGTCTGCTCTGGGAGGGCGCAGGCTGGAAGGTCACTTGTAAGCACAGTATGACAAGGGCCCTGGGGCCACCTGCACGCGGGCGAAGCAGATTCTGGAGGGAGACAGCCGTGACCTGGGTGAGGGCAGGGACAGTGCTAGAGGGGGCGGCCAAGGAACTGGGCCTGGGGAGTGAGGCCTGCTCTGCAGCAGGTGCCCTCGGCCCTGGCAGGCATTGGATGGTCTCCTTCCTGCCGTTAGGGGCAAGGAGGAAGGGGCACTGGTGTACGGGTTGGACGCCATGGTGCTGAGTGTGGCAGTCTCCCTCCCCAGCCTGCCTCCTCTTCCTCCCCTCAGCTGCAGGCCTGCACCAGGCTGGAGAGAAATGGAGCCCCAGGCTCCGGGCCCCCTGAGGAAGAGGACGCTGTCCTTGGGCAGTGACAATGAAAGGAGATACACAGGGCCCTGAGCCGGTCTGGGGAGAGTGGTGAGGTCCAGGGCTGGGCGCCCCTGAGGAGCCTCCTTGGTGAGACTGTTTAGCTCACCCGTGAAGCCCAGGAACCAGCACAGGCAGCTGGACCGACACCTGGTGCACAGCTCGTGTGTCAGAGCTAGTGGGAGTGGGCACTAGGACATTCCAGGAAGGGGGAGCGTTTATCTCTTATGCTGCGGTCTGTTTGGACTCAATTTTCCTTTCATTCTGCTGAGAAGTATTTGTAATACTTAAGGCTTGTTATCTGCCAGGTACTTTGTGTGCATTATTTCACTTTATTCTGTGAATTGCAGTCACTTTATCCTCTACAAATGAGGAGACTGAGGGATTGTCTTGGCTACATTTCCACACCCACAGGTTAAGGGAGGAAAGGCTTATTTAGTTCATGGTTTGTAAAGGTTTCAGTCCATGGCAGAGGGGCACTGCAGAGGAGAAATAGTTAATGGGGGTCAGAAGGTAGCAAAAGCAACAAGGGAACCTTACCAGCGCCTTTCTGCCCCTTTTATCTTATCGACTACAGGGATTAGGTCAGTGCCAAACCAATCAGGGACTGGCTTAGTAATCACATGCCCTTAATCCCAGCATCACAAATTAGATTCAGCCACCTCTGAAAAAGCCACCTCTGACCGCAAGAGGCTTTGGGGGGGACACCCAGACTCAAGCCTTAACAGACATAGGTTCGTAATCTGTCCAAGGTCACACGGGTAGGAAGGAGGATTCAGATCCAGATAGTCAGGGTGCCAATGCCTTTCTGTAGCTGGGAAGTCCTGACCTCAGCCTCTGACCTTTGTTTACCCAGCATGCAGGAGGTCACGTGTGCCAGCGAAGGATCCTGGGACTGGGTCGTGGTTGTGTGGGCACCTGAACCCCCTGAACAACGGCCGCTGTGGCCTTGGTGACAGTGAGTGAATCACCCTGGCATAGGCGGAGCCCATGAAGAAATATGCAAAAGTGGGGCCAGGCTTCTGCCTATGTCACTGAATTCCTCGGGTTATCATGTGTATTGGCCCAGATTTTTAAAATTTTTTGAGTGGGAAAATTTATCTGAGAATAGCAATGGGTAATAGGAATGTAGAGTAAGAATAGCTCCTGAGACAGGAGAGGTCCCGAATGGGTTGCCCACTGGCCCAGATTCTGGGCCAATAATGTTACAATTCCCAAATTGGGATGACAGAGATATAAGGAGTATTGGTATAAAAGTTTTATTTTTTTGGTTTATATTATGGGCAGTTTTATTTTCATATTTGTGCTTTTCCATATTTCATATATATTCCACAATGAACATGTATTAAGTTTTTTTAAAATGTGTTTTTACGTGAATTTGGGAAAGGACCACATTAGTGGAAAATCAATACATGAGAGATAGAGCGGCTTGGGCAAACATTACAGCCAACTTCGCAAGGGGAGAGGCGCGGCTTCTGTAGGTCCTTCAGCTCACGCCCGCGAGGCCCAGACCCACAGGGCGGAGCCTTCGGGGCTGCTCGCGACCCAGGGTGCACCTACCGTGCCTACCGGTACCCTTCCGGGCCCTAGGTGCCGCTGCCGTATTCTCCATCAGTGGACCAGGCTGTCGGCCTCCTCCCCGCACCCGCGCTCGTCCGTGTTGCAGGTGATGAGGGCGCCCCGCAGCCCGTCCGCCTCACAGCGCCGAGCCCTCCGGGACTGAGCACTCAGCCTTGCCTCAGCGCTCCTGCCCCGGGCTGAGGCGGCCCGGCACGGAGGCTACGCTAGCGGAGGCGGACGAGGCTGTGCTTCTCCACGGCCAAGGGGCTCCCACGGGCGGCGCGCGCTGGCGACGTCAGACGCGCGCGACCCCCAGGCTTTCTTTCCGAGTCCCGAAGCCGGTTTGCCGCGTGCAGTAGAGGCGGGGCGCGAGTCCCCGCCCCTTGCTAGGATTGACAGGGACTGACTCCTCCCCTGGAGAAGAGGCCTGCAAGTGGAACCGGAGTGTGAATTTAGTTCGGACTCGAATGTAAACCGTGCTTGCAAAGAATCAATCTATTTAAACGCTCATATTGATTGTTCACTCAGTATTTATTGAGCACCTACTTATGTGCTAGTCATTGTCCTGGGTACTGAGGCTGGGAGATTAGCAGAGCACAACAAGGTTTATTGCCATGATAGTAGGCCAGTGTTTCTTCTTTTTTTGGGGGGGTGGTAGTGGGGATTGAACCCAGGGTCTTCTTACTGGGCTACATCCCCAGACCTCCTTTTCTTTTTAATTTTGACACTGGATCTTGCTAAGTTGCCCAGGCTGTGCTCAAACTTGTGATCTTCCTGCCTCAGCTCCCAGAGGGCTTGGATCACAGGCCTGTGCCGCCATGCAGGGCAAGGCCAATGTTTCTCAGGAGTCCGTGGGGCCTTCCAAATCATCCTACTTGTGATTTGTTCCTATTCAAATGTGTATATTCAATGGACTTTCCTCTAGTGCCATGGGAAGTCTAGAGGCAGGACCCCAGATGCACAAAGAAAAACAGGACACACAAGGTGTAAGGGACTCAGTGAAGTCAGAGACCCGATGAGCAGAATGAGAGCTATTAAAACCCAGGGAAACTTCCTGACTCGGTTGTCATTGTGGGAACGTTAAACATTTTAACTTATATAAAGCGCTTCTGTATTTTAAAAGCTGGCCCTTCCCCTTAGGTTTCCTCTTGCTCATATTTCTCTTACAATGGAAGTTTACTGCAATGAACCTACTGTAGCCTTTTCTTCTCGTCATTCCTTCACATGCTGTGTTGGCCTCTGGCCCTACTACACTCCTCAAACTGCTGTTGCCATCACCGTGGAGACCTTCTGTGTGCAATTCAGTGGCTCCCCGTGCACTGTGATCTTAGCAACATTGACAGTATTAACCACCCTTCTTGCAACTAACGCTTGCCTTGGTAGCCATCGTTCTATTCTCTTGCGCTTTCCTCTTACCTGTCTTCTTACCTGGCCTGAGACACAAAGGCGCTCAGGAAATATCTGCTGAGTGGTGGCCAGTATTGGCCTAGTCTGTTCCTCAGGACTTTTGCCTCATTTCTTGCCCAGTTTGAAGGGCTCCAAGCTGAAGCTGACTCCAGGCCCGAGACAACTCTGTCCCTTCCATAGAACCCAGTCTTCATTTCCACTCAGGCCTGAGGCCACAGGAACCTGTGGTAGCTGCCCGTGACTGCACAGGGAATCTCGGGGAATTGGTCCAGATCAAGCTCTGGGTCTCCAGAGAGAACCTGTGGTATCTGTGCCCCCCCAACAGAGAGGACACAACCATCCAGGGATAATTTTTCCAAACTTTTATTTTATAGCAATTGTCATGGTGAGAGAAGTAAATAACACATTTAAAAACCTTCTCAGGGCCAAAGGATGCCAGAGTATTTACAAACACATGAGGTGTGGGTGGGAGGTGAGACATGAAAGTCTGGGGACTGGGGCTGCACCCAGGACCTGCCCCAGGCCCTGAGCCAGTCATGAGCAGTGATGCCAGCTACCAGGACCGCCTGGCTCAGCGAGCACCAGGCAGCCTCGGGCTCTGCTGAGGGCCTGGCGGAGGCCCACTGGCTGATCACCTTTGGCCCCACCTCCCATCCAGGGGGCTCCTCCACCCCACAGGCCAGCTCAGTGGGGCCTCTGGGAAGCACCGAAGGACATGGAACTGTGGGGGACCTCAGGACAGGGAGAGGTCAGGCATGACCTGGCCTGCCCCAGGGTGGGACAGAGACACACACACACGTGTGCACACACACGTACACACTGTACCTTCACAGAGGAGTTGCAAGGGGGAGTCTTTTCTTTTGTCTCTAAATCTCCATGTCTACAGTGTTAATTTTTTGCTATTTTTTTGTTTCTTTGACAGTGACATAAACTGAGGTAAACATCATGACCGACACCTCTCCTAAGGGGCTAACGATGCCAAGCCGACCAATAGACACTGACCACGGCAGGTAAGGGCAGGAGCTGAGCCCTGCCCAGGCCAGGGCCGCAGGGGTCAGGCTGGTCTCCAGCTCTGAGGAGGGGGCTGGGCTACATCACTACTGTCCTTTCCCAGCTCTAACAGCCTAGATACTGAGACAGGGAGCAAACTCCCAAACAGGCTCTCAACAGAGAAAGAGAGGGGGGCGCACAAGAGGGACATCTACTGTGGAGTCTCGCTTCCTTGTTATTGCAAGAGATCAGGATGTCGAGAGGCCTAAGGCAAAAGAACTTGGGCTGGGAGAGACCAGAAGGCCCCGAGCAAGCCGGGCAGTGACAGGGCCTTTCTGAGAGTCCGCTCTTGGCAGAAGGGGGTTTGCTACTTACCTGGCATGTGGGCCCCATGCCCACTGGGGAAGCGGGGTCTTGAGGAGAGGGCACACTGAGGAGTGGGGCCAGGCCCTGGGCAACTGTACGCTGTTTGTAAACTGGACCCGGGCAGGGCAGGGAGACCTATAGCCCTTTTGCGGTGGGAAGGAGGGAGGTTGGAGCTCCAGGCTGGACGGTGGTCGACGGCCCCTGGAGGCAGCCTGGCCAGCCCATCAGGAGCCCCCTCAGATGCCCCAGAGCCTCAGGAGGGACCCCGAGAGGCAGCCCAGGCCAGTAGGTGGGGCGCTGGCAGGCAGAGGGTGCGGCCTCACCCACGATGAGGTCATTGCGGGGGTCCCAGGCCTCCACGGAGAGGGCAGGGTGTGAGGCTGCTTCCTCTCTCTCAGCTTTGCTGCCTGGGGCCTGCACCTACCTGCAGGTGCCTCCTCGTGGGTTCCCTGAGGGGTGTGGTGACAGCTGCCTGGCGGGGGACCTTGGCGGGGCTGGGAGGTGTCTGGATGTGCATTCATCTGCAGGAGGCTGCACCCACGCGTCTGTCCTCCGCGTGGAGTGGTTCCCACTCAATTTCAGCCCCGCCCTTTCAATCCCTAGATGCCCCCTGCCCCCGAATCCTCCAGGAACAGAAACTGAGAAGGCGGGACCCCTGGAAGCTGACATGCTGACCCCAACAGAACCCAGGAGAAATGACTGGCAGTCATGTCGCTGTCTGCGGGCATCCAGGCCCAGGATCTGGGCTGGGGCAGCGAGGACTGGGAGGGTCCTGGGGAGGCTCCACTGCCCACCTTCAGCTCCACACTTGGTCCCTTGCTCTAGAGATGCAGGGGCAGCTGAGACGCTTGCTCTGGAGCCCTTCTGTCCCCCGGAGTCCTTGTTGGGGGTCGGGGAGCCGGGAGGGGGTGGGAGGGGCCCAATGGCCTCGTGCCCCTGACCAGCAGCCTTCCCTCCTGGGCTTTCACCAGCCAAGTGGGGTGGGGCGCACTGGATTCTCGCAGCCCCCGCCTGCACACACACTTCCGCGACCTCCAGAACTGCATTTTCCAGGGGCTTGGCCTCTCCCTCCAGACTCCGCCAGTAGGCTCAGGGCACAGCTGCCTTCCTCCCAGCCAGTGCCCAGGGGCCTCGGGCCACTTCTGTGGCCAGAATGGGGTGGGGACAGAGGGGGGGGGCAGAAGGGCCACCCGCAGGGGGTGGGAAAAGCCAGGATGGACTGGGGGGTTCCCGGCAGGAGGGGGGAGTCTGGCCTGCAAGCTCCCTGGCTGCCGTGTCGGGGTGCCTCTGAATCCTCGGGTTTGCGGGGCTGGGCTCTTCGTGCCACCGCCCGCCCTCCTGGCCACGCTGGCCCCCGGGTGGCTGTCCCCGCAGGGATGACGGGCCAAGCCCGGGCGCGGCCTCCTAGTCTACGCTACTGTCTCCCACCAGCGGGCGCAGCCGCTGAGGCTGCGCGAGCTCCCGAACCGGGCGACCGGCTCGGCGCGGGCCCAGGGCTGCCACAGCGGCCGGCCTGAGGGCGGGGCGGGGGGCGGCTCAGACGCAGATCTCGATGGCCGTGGCCAGCACCACCTGCCCTTTGCTCTTGTCCGGGCGGCCGTCGGTCCTGCCGGGGGGACCCGGAGGCGCCAGGCCGGCCTCGGGCACCGGAACCGGCACGGGCACGGGCACCGGGCCGATGGCAGGGGGCACGGCCCGCGGGCCGCCTCCGCTCTCGGTGAGCACCGTGCGCTTGAGCGGTGCGGGAGCCTCGAGGCGCAGTGGCCCGGCGGGCAGGCGGTCCCCGGGCGGTTTGCGCGCGCGCTGCGAGGGCCGGCGCCGCAGCTCGGACGTGAGCTCGTGCTTCAGGAAGCGGAAGACCTCCTTGGCCGGGCCACGGCGCTCGGGCTCCAGCGCCAGGAGGCGCTGGAACATGCGCAGCGCGGGCTCAGTGAAGCGGCGCCACTGCGAGGGCAGCCCGGGCAGGCGGCCCCGCTGCCAGCGCACGAACTCCTCGAAGAACGCGTCGGCTCCCGACGCCGCCTCCCAGGGGAAATTGCCCGTGAGCACGCAGAAGATGAGCACGCCGAAGGCCCACACGTCCACGCCCGTGTCCACCGCGAAGCCGTCCGCGCGGCCAGGCTGGCACACCTCGGGCGCCGTGTAAGGGATGGTGCCGCTCACGCGCTTCACGCGGCAGCCCACGCGGCGCGTCATGCCGAAGTCGGCCAGCTTCACGCGGCGGCACTCGCGGTCGAAGAGCAGCACGTTCTCGGGCTTGATGTCGCGGTGCACCAGCTGCCGGCCGTGCATGAAGTCCAGCGCCAGGCCCAGCTGCTGCACGCAGCGCTTCACCGTGTCCTCGGGGAGCCCCACCTGCCGCCAGACAGGAGCCGCACTCGGGGTCCGGACACACCCAGGACCTTCTGCTTTCTGCATCCTTGGTGCCCTACCCTGCAACTGCGCCCTCCACCATCTGCTGCGGGCTTTGACCCCTCCCTGTGGCCCTGCCCACTTCGGCCTGGTACCTCTCCTGCACTTTGTGTGTCTAGGCAGCTTCTCTCCTCCCCCCTAACCAGATACCTGCAGTGCAGTGATGGAGTACTGGGCCAGCTGTGGGCCTGGCGCTGTGATAACCGTTTTCTGCCACTGTCTCATAAAAGCACCACAGTGAAGGGCCGCTGTGCCCACTTCCCCATGGGTGTGAGGCTCCGGCCTGAGCAGAGTCCAGCCTGCTGCCCGGAATCCCCCCACTCTCCCTGCTCGGGTCACCTGTCCTGTGCAATGCCACCTGTCCTCTGCTTCCTTCAGAGTGTTCATCTCAGTCCGTTATTAACTGGCTTATTGCGGAGTATTTTCCCCACTAAGATGTGAGCAGAACCTTTCTGTTCTTCAGCTCTGCCACACTGACTGATACACAGTAGGCACTCAATAAATAGTGGGTTCTCAGCTTCACGCTCTGGGGACCCCAGACACCACCTCCCCTCTCCATGCCACCATCCCAAATACCTGGGGAGGGATGATGTCAAACAGGTCTCCGGCGGGTGCATACTCCTGGGCAAAGACGTAGCAGTCCTCTGTCTCGAAGACCACATCGAAGATCTTGATGATGAAGGGGCTGGACGAGAGGCTGTTGGTGATGCTCACTTCCCGCAGGAAGTTCTTCAGCTTTGTTTTACTCTTGTTTACGAACTTCAGCGCCATTTTTGTGCCTGGCGGGGCAGTAGCAACAGTGGTGAGGACCCTGTGTCTGCAGGTGACACCCACCCACCTGGCTGCAAGGCCTATCCCTGGCCAGCGGTGCCCTGGCTGGCATGACCACCCTCACCTTAGAGGTGGAAACAGCCCAGAGGGCAGACAGGACTTGCTAAGGCCACAAAGCAGGGCGGGCCCAGCTGGTCATAGCACAGGCTCAGTGTCCTCTAGGAGGGTAGCTGCAGGGGCCCGCTCTTGTTTCCCTGCCATTCTAGTCTTCTCTGTCTTGTCTGCCTGCCCACGGCTCCCTGGCTTGTACCACTGTGTCTCCTGAGTCCAGTACCTAGCAAACGCTCAGCAAGCATTTGTTAAATGGATGAAGGAATACTGTATTCATGTGGATGCTCAGCTGTTCCGGGGAGTGTTGACACTGCAGGCCCTGCCTCCAGCGCTTCATTTACAACTCATGCTTCACAGTGACCCTCAGAGGCAGAACCAGTGTTTTCCAAATAGCATACCGGGGCACAGTGGGGTTAAATCACAGTGCCACCCAGCAAGCAAGTAGCAATCAGGTGACCCATGTCCAGTGCTCTTCCTGCTGCCTCAGTTGGCAGAGGCCCCTCTCCTGGTACGTGCAGCTGTGGGAACCCGCACAGCCCCGGCCCTGAGTGAGTGGGCACCACAGTGATCCGCTGGTATGGTGGGCATCAAGCCTGGTGGTTAAGCAAGGCGGCGCTGGAGGTGATCCCCAGCCAAAGCCTCCGGGGCTGCACGAGTGTTATGGCTGTGTGTAGGTGTCCCCCAAACCCTCATGCGGTCACAGGTGGGGCTTCCTGGGATGGCTGCATCTAGGGTGTGTGATGCTGGGATTCAGGCCATGTCCCGCCCTGAAGGAATATGAGGGACAGAAACAGGGTGCTGCTCTGCTGGTCTTCTGCTGCCTCCTGCCTCCTCTGCAATGCCCCTCCACTAGGCCACCCTGCCTTGGAGCAGCTGACTATGGACTGAACCTCTGCACACTGTGAGCCAAATAAACCTTCCTCCTTAACTTTAGGTGTTGGGTATTTTGTCTCAGCAACGAGAAAGTAACTAAGACACTGTTAAGTGACGGAGTGTCTTGGTGTCAGTGTCTGCACCGGAGAAGAGGAGATGGCTCTACCACCCTGAAGCATGGGACCCCGATCCTGAGGCCCCACCTGCACCCCTCCTCACCTCCCTACGGTCACCCGTCACTGACCAACCCCAACAGAGCCACCAGTCCTGCCTCTCCCCTGAGATCCAGAGGTCCTGGGCACACCCCACATGGCCCCAAAGCAGCCCACTCTGCGGTCAGGGCACTCTGTCCCAGGCTCCTCCCTTGTCCCACCTGCCTGTCCCCCTCTCCTGAGCTGCTGCAGGTGCATCCTCTCCACCTGGACACTGCCTCTGCCCCTCTGCTCCCTCCTGACCTCTGGCCATGTCCTCCACCCCAGCCTCGAAACTCTGCCTCCCCGAGGACACTCACCTGTGCCCTTGTAGGACACCAGGTCAACCTTCCCGTAGGTGCCCTTGCCCAGTTCCCTGACGAGTTCGTAGTGCTTGGTGACGTCGCTGGCAGCCAGGGTGCGGAGGGTCAGGGCCTGCATGTCTTCTGTGAGGAGGGGCACACCCGTGCCTGGCCCAGGGGCGGTCCCCAGCCCACAGCAGGGCAGGGAGTGGGGTGGCTCGGGCTCTGGGCAGCCCACACTCATCTTCTCCCTGGTGTGGGCGGTGTGACATGAAGCAACATCAGGCCAGGGCCCCTCCTCCACCCACCTGCTGCAGCCCCAGGACCCAGGAAACTCCCAGCTGGGCCCCATGCCAGGCACGAGACAACCACAAGGGGGCAACAGCGATCTTGGTCGCACCACCAAGGATTCCTGGCTAGGCTGAGGCCCGGCAGTGCCCCTCCTCACACTGGTGCACCAGGGGCGGTCACTCTCACTGTCGTCCACGCAGGGCCGGGCACACTCATTGTCACACAGAGATGTGGCTCACACCGAGTTCACGAGCACAATCCCGTTCCCAAGTTCTGTTCTGCCAGATGGGATGGGGCGCGGAGCCTCTCCCCAGCCAAGCGTGTGCTCTAGCCTGGCCCCACGAGGACACATTAACGGAGCACCCGCTGTGGGCCAGGTGCAAGCCAGTGCCCCAGGGACACTGCACCGAGCAACACAGAACAGATCCCAGGGATCTGTCTCGGGGGCTTACATCACACGGGCGGTGGACAAGAAAACACATCAAACACGCACCGTATGTCACAGTCAAAGGGGGCTTGGGCTGTGCGGCCAGGGAGGGCAAGGGCCACACTGTGAGCCTGGGCGGGCAGCCTCACTGCACGCCCTCACCGGCACACGCCAAGCCAGGATCCACCGAGCGGCTGCGGTCCCAGCCCCCGGGCCCAGACTCAAGGACAGTGTCAGCCCTCCGAAGCCCCAGCCTGAGCTGCCTTTGGGGTCCACACAGGCTGGGCTGGGTTCTGGGTGTGTCCCCAGATGGGCCAGCGTCCTTGCATCTGCTGGGGGAGTTAGGGGAAGCAGGGCGCTATAGGGCTGGGCCCGGGGCTGGGGACAGGAGGCCCACCTGGGAGACTAAGTGGGTGACAGTGAGTCAAGGCTGGATTCGGGCCTTCCCCCCATTATATTCCACTTCATTTTTCTAGTTTTATTGAGGTACATCTGACGTACAATAAACCACATATTTAAAGTGTGATTTGATGAGTTTTGACACACGTGTATTCATGAAACCATCCCTGCAACCAAGACAGTGAATACACCCATCACACCACCAGCTTCCCCTGCCCTTATCCGTCCCTGTCCCTGCCCACCGGTCCCAGGCAGCCTCCCTGGGCCCTGCATTTCTTACTGGAGGAGTGGGGGAGGGTGGGCTGGGGGGGTGAAGCCTTTCCCAGGTGTGGCGTGCAGGTGTGTGTGTGTCTGTGATGCGTTGGCAGGGGACACGGGCACCGCACCCTCCACCTGCTGTGGCCACCCCTGGGAGCCACCTCCTGTGCACCTCCCGCAGCCAGTCCCGGGGGATCTCTCCAGCTCCGCCAGCATCCACAACTGCCCCCAGTGCCCTCTCCCTGAAAGACACCCCTTGGCTCTGGCTCCATCAGAGAGAAGATGCTGCCTTGGAGCCCAGCCTGGCTCTGAATCCCCAGTCTGTCACATACCAGTTAGATACCCTGGGCACTGGATCTCCGTACTGCAAGTTCCGCATCTATAAACAGATACAGTGGCAGTACCTACTTCCGATGTAAATGAAGTTAACAGACAGCTGGCTGTGGGGTGCATCCTTGCAATCCCAGCTGACGTAGGAGGATTGAGAGCTGGGAGTGGGGGTCTCACCCTGGCCTAGCAGTGCCCTCCCGCCCCACAGCCCCTTCCTCAGCCTTCCCCTTCCCCCTGGCAGCGTGACCCAGCCTCCCACTTCACACGGGGAGAAGCATCAGGAGGGAACTTCCTGGCCTCCCGCCCACCCAGCCACAAGCGTAGCTCCATCTGCACCGCCCTCCCAGCTGGCTGGGCGCAGGAGCCTTCCCCCACCTCGGCTCCCACCCCTTCTGCTTCCTCAGCATCCTGCTCCCTCCATTCATGAACAGCTCTGTGCATGGTCTCTGTTCTAACGGAGCCTTCCACCCCCAGCTCCAGCCTCTGCTTTCCTTGTTCATTTCCGTCAGATCGTGTGCTGGGGACCCTGTCCGAAATGCCATCGCCCTTGCCCTGGGGTCTGGTCTGTAGCCCGATGACCCCCTTTCACAGACCCCCACCGGGAGAAACAGTGCTAGGCCCAGCAACCCAGCCCTTCCCCCTTCTCCTCTCCCTCCCACCCTGGCTTGGCAACTGGTACCAAGTCTCTGCAGCCCCACTCCGGGCCGGACCACGCTGGGTCTCTGCTGCAGCCCCAGCTGGGGTGAGAGGGGTAAGTGGGCTAGAGCAGGGTGCTATCTCCGGACAGTGGCGTCTCCTTGGTTCCTGGCAGCCAGGGAGCCCCTGTCCAAGCCCTGTCAAATGTCCACCCCCAGCTGGTGATGAGGACCAGGGTCAGGACAACCGAGGGCTGCTGCAGTGCAGGCAGAGGAAGGTCGGCTGCTTCTGCGTGGGCATCCTCAGGAGAGTGCACCTTGGCTCTTGGGAGACAGCGTGGGGCTCCCCAAAGGGGTCTGATGAGCACATGGCCCCTTTGCTTTGAACTCCCCCGGAGACACGGGCTGCTCTCCTCACTGAGGTGTGACATGTGGGCTCCCAGGGCCGCTGCGGCAAAGCAGGCACTGTACATGCGCCTACTGCCTTGGGCTTGGCCCTGTCCGGCAGCAAGGACTGTTTCTGCAGCCTCGGGAGCTGGACGGGCAGCTATAAGTAGCTCACTGGCTATGTGCTGGGGCGGGCCAGGGGTGCAGCCACAGGGTGGGGTTTGGGCCCGACTGCTACCCCCCACTGCCTTTCCATACACGGCATCAGTGGTTCCCCCCCGCCAAAGTGATGCTAACGCCTGCCGCACCACATTCAGCCCCACACCCTGTCTCCTCCATGACGCCTTCCCTGCTGCCCTGCAGGCGCTCTGCTGAGGACCAGGATCTGGACAGGGGTGCGTGTTCCTTCCCAGGCCGAGCCTGGCAGGGGGTTCCAGCTGGCTCACAACCCACTCCCAGCCCCTTTCTCTTTCCTCAGTTCTTCCTGTCCCGGTTGGGGCCCCTCCTCCTGCTCAACCTGCTGCTCCGCGAGATGTCAGCAGGGGACAAGGAAGGAAACCTCGTGGCCCTGCTGCTGGGCCATCCCCCGGGTATGCACAGTCGCCGAGCCAGTTAGTATGCATGTGATTTAGGGGGCACAGAGGGGGTGACAGAAACAGTGCGGCCTTGGGCTTGACCGTACTGTGCACCACTGTCAGCTGTGTGACCTTGAGCAAGTCACACCGCTTCTCTGCCAGCAGCTTACACATCCACACACCGAAGAAAACAAAGCACCACTCTAGCTCTGCTACCTACCTACTGCAGGCCAGGCCCCGACCCAAAGAGCAGCCAACAATCTTCACCATTTCCCGGGGCAGATGTTATTATTATTACACCATCATTTTAGAGATGACAAGAACAAGGCACAGGAAGACAAAGTAACTTGCCCAGCGTCACACAGCTGGTGCTGGGATTGCTTCCAGAGTTGGTGCCTAGCCCACTGTGTTTCCCAGGCAGGGTGCTGGAGCATCTCACCCAGATCCCCCAGCAGCTGAGTGGGAAACCGAGGTTCAGAAGAGGGCAGAGTCTCAGCCCAGGGTGCCCCCTCAGCTCCTGCTGAGAGCCAACCCGGTGCCAGGCACTGGCCAAGGCCCCACACAGGCAGCTCCTTCCGATGGAACATGGGGCTGCGAGTGAAGCACAACACATCTGCTTCTCCGAGGGGCTGGCAGGGTGGAGGCATGAGTGCCTGGCGTAGGGGACCACTCGGCCCCCAGTACTTTGTCACCACCATTGTCCCTGGCCCGGGCCGCAGCTCCAGGGCTGTGAGCCTGCAGCATCAGGTGCTGTCCTCTCTCCCTGTAAACCACGCACTGCATCTGCTCATACTCAGGCCGACCGCAGTGGCCAGGGCCTACCCCTTGGGCCCGCTCTTTGCGGATTTGCTTCACTGGCCCCAAGGGAGCTCCTCCATCCTCCATCTGTGTGGCTGAGGGCAGGCGGGGTCCCCTGTCTCCATGGCAGCAGTTGTAGCTCTGCCACATGTGGGGAGGGTGCTGTGGTGGGGGGAGGGTTTCCCAATCAAGAAGCAAGACTGAACCACCTACCACTTTCTGTTGGCGGGAGGCTCGGCTGCATGCCACCCTTGTGCAGCTACACTCAACTCAGCGTCCATCTCGGGTCCACGCTGAGCTCCATGCCCACTGCACACATGCACACGCAAACACAGACACCAAGCATATACACATGTGTGCAGATGCGCAAATACACACATGCAGACACAAACACATGAGCATAGACAATGCACACATGCAAACATACAATAACCAGGTGCAGGCACACAAATGCACAATGCACACAGCATAAACATATATACATAGGTGCACATTCACATATGCACACACATGCAGTGCCACAAGTCATGTGAAATTGCCTATGCTTTACAAGAACAGTGTGACTGAGGTGTAACTTACATACCACAAAACACACACCCTGTGAGTGCACAATTCAGCGCTGGGTGACCACTGCCACAGTGAGAGATGCTTTCTACTCGGATGAAGGAGGCCCAAGAGGAGGATGATTTGCGCCTTGTCATGTCAGTGATGGCCAACTGTCCCCCAGCACGTGTGCTTCCTCTCCTACAGCACAAGGGCACCATGGGAAAGTGGCCACCCTGCAGGGAGCCACATTCCCAGCCTCCCGCGCATCCGGGCATGGCCCGTGGCTGGGTTTCCCCACAGGAATGTGAACAGAAGTGATCCATGCCACTGCCAGGAAGGGGCTTCTCTGAAGTAGGGAAGGCTCCTCCGTTTTTTTTTTCTAGGTGCTGGCTTGGTGTACCCTAAAAGGTAGTGGAGCTTCGGGCGGGAGGAGACCAGGTGCCCGAGGAAGGATGTGGAAGGCTCCACGCTAAGGAGAACGACCCACCCTGTACTAATGTATGAGGCAGAAGCAAGCATCTACTGTGTTAGACTGCTGACATGTGGGCTTATTTGTCCCAGCAGCTAGCACGCCCTGATGCAAGAGTTATGTAGCCAGTAAGCAA